TGTTAATAATTACTGCTATATGAATTTACATTTTCCACCTTAATATATCTGCCTTCGAGTTTTAGGTAGCCTTAAGTTGCTATCCCGCGTTAATTACTTCCTCTTTCTCCTTCGACATTACCCTTCCGGTCGTTTGGTACATTTTTTTATAAATCTGTTGTAGTCCAGTCTTTCGGTTGCCCATTCTCTCTTGTGTGTTGAAGAAAGCATTTACATATTGCTCTCGCTTCTTCTGTAATCTAAGCTTCCTCTAAAACCATTTTTACCACTGTAATGGTTTACTTTGGCAAAATACCCTCATTCATCCCTGGATAAAAATTTGCGTTTTAACGAGCCTCAAGCGTGAGCTCAGATATCAAGATCTTCCTGTTTAAGTGTTATGCATATCGTCGTTTTACGCATTTAAATACTTTCGATAGGTCAGTTGACTACTAACGCGCGTAGTACGACAGCACTCCGGGATGGCTACACCGGCGGCTTTCTGTCTTAGCGTCAGCCCTGATGTGTTGAAACAGCCCCCGCCAGCTCCCCCGAAATATCTAAAACATCAGGTTTATGATGCGCCGGATGTTTTTGCACGGGTCGATGAACATGCCATTAAGGTATGTTTTTAGTTACCGTAATTACGGTAATAATTTCCATACAGGTTTCCTATAATGAATATCCGAGTTTTCGTGATCTCATGTGGAATCTCGTTTTTCGATATAAACTATCTGAACTTGAGAGAGCACGAGTCATATTTCGTTGGATGACAACAAAGAATATGCAAAAAATGACCTTTCAGGAGGTTGCAGCTGGATCTCCTGAAGAAATACTCCTTATGTTTAAGCAAAACAAAACAAGTTTTGCCAAAATCTACGAGATAATGTGCACGTTAGTCCATAAATTTTGTTTTTGTGGATGATTGCACTATTTGTATTGTGTGAAAGGAACATTGTGAAATAGTAATGCTTAAGGTTTCCATCACTAATTGCCGAGTATTTAAATTGTAATTTTTTACATATAGCCTTTGATCGCAGCCTCAAAGCTTTTACGAATAGTTGTATTTTAGCGAAAATTTAAGAATATTCCCATTTGATATATACCTAGTATGTATGCGGCATTCCGATTAGTCTCCTAAAAGATATATTCCCATTCCTACCTTTGGCACAGGTATTATTGAACTGTTGAGAAAATGTGGGATAATTCTGTTTTTTACAATTATTTTTAGAATGTTTTTACAAATCGTTTTGTCTGTTTATTATAAATCTAATTTTATATTTATTTTTCTCACATACCTTATCTATTTTAATGTGCCTAAGTGATTGAAAATACTTAATTGTGTTCTGAGATAACTGTTTGATATTTTTTTAGATATGCCGAGCTTCATTGTGTCACTGTGAGTGGTTACGCGAAGGGGGTCGACTATTTTCCTGGAGATCGATTCCAAGGTCTACCCCCAAATCACTCTTGGAATGTTATCTACATCCAGGAATCTTGGCAGCTGGTGGATGCACACTGGGCAACACGTTATCTGAGTTCAGGAAAAAACCTCCAAGAAAACGTGGTTTATGAGTACGATGATTTTTACTTCATGATGGAACCTCAGCAGGTATTTGTCGTCAATTTATTTTGCACATCGTAACCGTATTTTCCCAAAATTCCCTTTTTCATTAATACAGACAGCTTAGTAGGTCAACCAAACACAATAAAACATTTTACACAGAGAAACATTTTATTTTTATTTTTCTACGGTCACCCATTTCTTCCGTGGACTATAA